TTTTTTTTTTTTTTTTTTTTTTTTTTTTTTTTTTTTTTTTTTTTTTTTTTTCATTATAAACTCTTTATTGAATAAATATTTAAGCAATTTTTTTTTTTTTTTTTAAAAAAAGCCAATTATTATAATCATTTATTTTCTTTGTCAGTTGTTAATTAAAATTTTATTTTGTTTTTTTAATTTACTTTAATATTAATAAATTTTATTTTGAGCGGAAAAATTTTTTTTTAAAAGAGTGTAGTGACTAACATTACTACCATTACCACCATCACCGCAAGTTATAACTGCTTTACTTTAGTATTACTGTAAACTTAAAAAATATTTAAAAAGTGTACATACATTATCTACATCTAAAAAAGTGGATGCTTGCTTTCATTTGAAATAAATGTAAATTAGATAATTAAGATAATTAATTATGATACTTACATCATGATCAAGTTTAGGAGGTTGTGGTAGAGCTGCCAAGTTTGTAGAAGATTTTTTAGATAAAGATGTCGAAGATGTAGGTGGTGGTGGTGGTGGTGGAGCTAATGGAAGTGAGGGCGGATGATTTTGTGTTGACAAGCTGTTACATGATGAAGACATTCCTAAAGGACGAGTACCACTAAGTCCTCCTTTCTCAGGATCTGGTAATTCTCCAGGAGTTTCGGCTTTATCTTCAACTGGTGTATCAAATGTTAGTTGTAACGCGTGTGCACCTATTATAAGTAGCTTAATAAGGTTATTTCTATTTAATAAATAAAAGTACAATAGTTAAAAATAATGTACCTGATGGAGGACTTTCAGAACTTCTCGTGTTATGTAATGAAGGTGCGGATCTTTTAAGAAGTCTTCCCCACGTAGCAACATTAATATTCATTTGGTTAGCTCTAGGGAAATTTTTAGCTTGTTGTTTAAATATTTTTCTTTGCCTTTGAAGTCTTGGTTTTCTTGAAATCATAGGATTAAGAAATTTAATTTCAGCAAATAGTAAACCTTGAGGTTCAAGCTGAAGCGCCATACCATGTCGTACGTCATCAATAAACTCTTCAAGACGTAAAAATTTAACAGCGCACAGTGAACGCCAATCTTTCCAATAAATTCCAATTTCAAGTTCACGAGATTTATCTAATTCAATAGAGAACCTTTGGTCCCAAGCTTGTTGCGAACATGGTCGCCAACTAGTTTGACCGACCGTTTGATTATCCAATTTAATGACAGCCATTATGTCATTACAAATTTCATCTTTAACACTATATGATTTACTCGAGCTACGTCCTGTCACACCCTTTACAAAACTCCGGAGATCTGGACTAGCAGGATGATGTTCACGACGTGTTCGTCCTGGTACTTCTTCTGCAAGATCTTGACAACCCATTAACCTTACTTCTAACTGTCCGGTAACTGCTGCACATCGTGAAACAGAGACCGGGACAGCAGTACGTCCTTCAAGAGGTCCACGAAACGGTTGAAGAGATGTATATGTTACAGGTAAAGGACTTGCAGATTGAACATTTGCCAATTCTCGTTTTAATTGAACAGCAGTAGTACTATCAGGTGGCAGCTCTTGTCTTCTAAGATCTAATGCCATTCTCAACAAGTCCAACTTACGACTAGACTCCGAAAGACTTGCTTGAGCTTCAGTAAGGGCTTTTTTATCAGCAACTTTGGCACTTTGTAGAAGACGAATAACATTTTTAGCTCCTTCTACAACAGCAGCTTCAATCCTTAATCTATGACGAAGTTCTTCTACTCGTTCTTCAAGAGCCAACTCCAAGCTTGGTTCATACTTATCTTTATTTCCAGTTGCTTCACCATTATGAAAAGGCGATTCACCCCGAGCATTCTGTTGTTGCCTTGCTTGTCTAACCTTCATTATTCTCATTCTAAGAAATTCTATTTTTGCCCGAGAATCATCCAGCATTTGCTGAGCTTCTTGTAATAATTTTTTATCTCTATGTCCACTCGTTAAACTTTGAATCATATTCTCAGCTCCTTGTTTTACCTTTAATTCAATATTAAGCTGCTTTTCTAAAGACAAAAGTCTTAAATCTGTAATAAGTCCTTCTTGACTTGGAGATGACGAATCAACAGGTGATGATTGTGTATCTTGACCATTAGAATAGTCTCTTTGTGATGCTTGCGGTTGTCCTTGAGTCAAAATTATTTGACTCTCGAGCTGTTGTAGTTCAGCTTGCAATTCATTTAATTTACTATTAGCTTTTTTTACAATTATAGCAACATCCGACAATGCTTTACGCCCTGATGCTACTTCACGAAGCTTCTCGGCACCAGCTTTTATTTTCAATTCCTAAATCAAATTTACATTAATCAACTTTTGTATTTAAAAAAATTTATTTTTAGATACGTAAATTAATTTTTAATAATTACTAAATTGTCATACCTTTCGTATTTCACGGCGAATGTGTTCACGTAATTCATCAAGGCGAGCTGGAAGAGGCACTTGATCACTCCCTGCGATTCCATACTTTAGTGACAATTCTGTCACAACTGGTTGTCTCGAATAATCATTCTGAAATAAAACATCATTACCTTAAAGCATCATTATTTCATATTGATTTATAAATCATAAATAAGAACATTTTTTTTTTTTTTTTCAAGTTTTCAGCTAATAGAAAAATTACTTAAAAATTTTCATTTGGAGCAATCTTTTTTTTTTTTTTTTACTTTCTTCTCTCTATTTTTTTCATTTCATTTTCTTATTTATATTTCATCATTCACGCAGCCACGAATTCTGGACTATAAAAATCTCGATGGTAAATAAGAAGAGAAAAATAATGAAAAAAGAGAGGAGAAGGATTGCGAGAAGCACCAAAGAGGAGCGAAGTGATGAGACAAATATAGAGAGGAAACAATTAGAATTGTCAAATAAAGTAAATTGGAGTACTTATTTATCCGTCATTATATTATTGTATCTCAACAATTTAAAGTCAATCAACCAAATATATAATCAAGTACCTAAAATTGAGGAAGAAAACTTTAATAAAATTTCATTTCATAGTACTTTGGGGAAAAAAAAAAAAACCTCATTTAAAAATATCAACTCTATCAACTCACCTGATAATAACTTGACTCCGCCATCTTGGTCACCACTTTTGACCGATTACTTTCTATCTATGTTCTGTGTTCTCTCGTACGGTATTCATCATTTCATTGTAATTTCACATAGTCAATTGGGATTTAAAATTTTTTTTTTTCATATTGATGAATTAAAAATACTCTGTTACCACTTATTTTGAATAATGTTTCTTTAATATTATCACTACTTTTTTCGTTCCCCAGGTGTATTCTACGAATCACCAAACACCGTAATCTTTCCTCTCTCTTTTTAAATTTTTATTCGAGCTAAAGTCAAACAAATATAAATATAATTTATTTTAATAAAACTTATTTATTTTGACACTTATTGAGATTAATAGTAAGATTGATAAGACTATTGAAATTTAAATAAAGAGATATCAATTGGTGTACAGTAAGTATCAATATACCTATAGCCTATAACTATTAGCAGATAAAAAACAAATGCAACTATATTCCACCGCATCTGATGGAATACTGTTTGATTTGATACTGACTACTGACTGTAAATGATTTCATTACCAATCAGAAATCTACACTATAGTGCCGTCAAGTTCCACGTGACTTTTCAACCAATGAGATTTTCCATATTCACTGCCATATTGATTTTTCTAATTGCCGCGAAAAGTTAAATGATGGAAAAAGTTGAAAATTATCATATTGAAATTACTACTTGAAATTTTTTTGTTTACTTTTCTTTTTTCAATAGATGAAATATTAAAAAAAAAAAAAATTTACAAAATTTGTACTTGAATTATTTTATCATTTTCATACATGCAAATTTTTCATTTATTTTAGAACAATTTATTTGTTAAAAAAATTGTTATGTGTAAATATTTTTAACTTTATCATGTTTTTTAAATTACATAAGGTAAAAGACCCAGTTATTGACACTGCCCTAGTTGTTTGACACTTGTAATTTTATTCTAATTAAAAAAATAAAACGTTCTCAAAAAACCATTAAAATTTGTAATTAAAAAATTATATTTATATTACTTTCTTAGAGTTGATTAGTTTTTTTTTTTAATTAAAATAAAATTGCAAGTATCAATAATTAGAGAATAATCCATGTTTATGTAGTTGATAATTGATAATAATATTTTTTTTTGTTAATATATTTTTTTAGTTTTCAGAAGTAGTTTTTTTTTTTCAATAAAGGAAGTAAAATAAGACAATCGAAATGTAATAGTATGTCACGTGAAGATTACATGAGTTTAATTTATCATCCAATTACCTTTTAACATCTCTAACAATAGTAAATAAAATAATTTCTATTTCTAGTATTCACAAAAATAAACAATCCATAAATAATTTATTAATGTACCATGATAGTCTTTACCGCAGAATTTTGATATTCCTCAAATTAATGATTAGACTCTGACCGTAGGAGTCAATTATTTTAGTAATTGGAACCATGGAAAGACTCAAATGACAAAGCATCTGAATGATAGTAAATTTAATTTCTGTCTAACACATACGACCGGGATGAAATTCAATAAAACCTTTTAACAATTTGATTATTTTATTAAATGAATACAACAATTTTATAAAATACTTTAATTTATCGGAAGAAAATATATTTGATTTAGCAGAATTATTGAGACAAAAGTTTTTCCATAAGTTGATCAGGTGTTCTAACAAATAATTTATCAGGATTTTCGTATTGATTCTTGGGGTCATGGCAAGCTTCATACAGTTGTTTATAAATAGCCCCTATAACTTGAAAAGATCGTTCTAACACAGTCGAGCGATGATTACAATTTTTAAGTAAATTTATTTGGGGTAACAGAAAAGAATCGGGCATCAATAGAAATGATTCTAATTTATTCTGAAATGAAAAATTGAATATTTTTAACTTTCAATCTTAATGTATATCTATTTTTAAGAAATACTCACATTAAATTCTTTCACACTCAGAGCATCTAGCCCAGGAATACCGGATAGAGGACCATGTTCTTTACCCTGTAGTATTGTATAAATAGGTCCTAAATTTAAATTAGCTACAAGAGAGCTTGCAATTTCGGATGTTAAAGTATCTATTTGGGCATCGGATTGAGCTTGCAATCTTTCTAATCTTTGATCCATGTATTCATAAAGTGATAACGTGGAATGAATTTGATTTAAACAATTTAAAAGATACACTGCCATGTCAACTACTGGTAGTCTCGCCGCAGTTTCATCAATTTCGTGCAGTAACGGATCAATGATATATGATACAATCTAGAAAAAAAAAATTTAATAGTTAATGTAATGTTATGTAATTTTCCACATAGTTTTTAAATGAAATACCTGAATTATATCTTTTTCTCTATCGTCACCAGTAACAATAAGCGCAATGGATAAAATTTCATTGAGTGATGTTAAAAGTTTTGATACAGATGCAGCTGGTACTAAATCTTGTCCAGGAGGTTCTGGTCGCTCTCCCAAAGCCATCTGTGCTTCTCTTTGTAATTTAGAAATAAAATTTCTCTCATTTAACTCCAATAATTCATACAAATATTTAATAAAAGCACTCTCTGGTATAATATCATTGAAAATTTTAAGGTAATATCTTATAAGAGCTATCACAGAATAAAAAACACTGGCAGAAGCATCCACTGCAAGAATGTGTTCTACTCGGGATTTTAGAGGATGACAAAGTTCTTCTGTAATATTTCCTAAAGCAAGTTTTACTTGGTCAGAAATATCTGTAAAATAAATAAAAAATAATCATTAGAGAAGTATAACTATTATGTATTTTATAATTAAAATTTTTATTGGTTGCACATGTGAAGTACGTTCAGAAATACTACTTATTTAAATAAATAATTGAAGTAAAGTAATTTTCTAGAGTAGAAAATAAAAAAATTGCCAAAAAACAAGACAATGTCACAAATAAAAAAAAAATTCAATTTTTGACGATTTGAAAATTTTTCAAAATCTCAAGCGACCACAAACTTTTTTAGTAATTATATAAAAATGGAGTTTCACCTTATTTTCAGGGATGGAAAATCAAAAATTGGACTTATCCCTTTTTCTTCATTTTTTTTTAGTTCTACTCTTTGGCGGATTAATGATAAAAATTAATTCGATTTTCAAAAAATTAAATTTTATAAAGATTGTTGGATTGGAAAAGTTTTAAAATTATAATTTCGACTTTTCAAAAATATATCATTGTTAAAAAATTTATGTATCACTTTCAAATTATTGATCAAGAGTCTAAATTTCAATTTGAGGACTTATTAATTTCAAAATTTTTCATGAAATTAGATTTGTTAAAAAATAAATTATTTCGCTAAAGAATAAAACGAGTTGAAGAAGAAATTTGTAAATATCATTATTTTTCAATATTTTGTGGCTGAAAATATGTCGAGCCAACTTCTATATAATTCATAAATTTTTAATCTAGTAGTTTTTTAGAAAGAGTTTTTAAAACATGATGAACTAAAAAAATTCATAAGACAACTTTACCATACAAGTATAGAATGAAAAGACAAACCAGTTTTATCGCAGGTTTTCAACAAAGTTAAAAGATTTTCTTTTTCAATAGGTATTGCTTGATGTAGCCAAGCTAACATATCTCCAATATAACGAGTCGGATCATCAGCTCGTAGTTTAATAGGGTTGCGACTTCCTCCAGATGTACTTCCAAGTGTAAGAGCATCAATAAAAGAGCCAACAATTATTGATCTTCGTGCCGTACAATATTCATCAATGATATATTTAAAAAGAATGGGTCTTTCTTGTAATTTATTCATAGCTTTTATCAATAATGGAGCAATACATTCATTTTCAATATGCCGACATTGATTTTGTGTCCATCTGTACAGTCTTTCAAGAGCTGCTTCTTGTAACAATGTCATTCGTTGCATTACATCTAAACCAAGAGTTTGATAACCAGACTGCATAAGAGTTCGACAACTAGTGTGAATTGTTTGCAGCCGAGTTATTACAGTAAAAAATTCTTCTGTTATTGGTTCTTCTCGAGTTAGCCCATGTAAAATTCTTATTTCATACTTTGTTAACTGGAACGTTTTTATAAATGCCTGAGCAACATCGTGTTGCATCGATAATTTTTTACTTTCATTTTGAAGTTTTGTTGTTCTATCTATAAGAGTTATTGTTTGAGCTTTTGTCGTGTGTAACCGGTTTGTCATTGACTGAATTGAATTATTCATTGATAAAACGTCACTATGAATGTCATCTAAAGTTGATTTAACTTCTCTAAATATTGATAAGAATTCATCGTTTATAACTAAACTTCTTTTTTCAATATTACTAGATAAATTTCTTCGGGCATTCAAAGTGTTGTCGGTAAAAAATGTCGATAATTCTTTCAATGCTTCCAGAGCTTCCTGAGAAGTGATTATATAGATTACTTAATAATGTTAATTATTTTCTTTACTAATTACCTTATCATTCTCTGGTCTGGATTCAAGTAAGTTATTAACACGTTTTACTGATGAAGTATTTTGATTTTTTTCTAATGTTAAAGCCATATCCTCTATTATAAATTGTAATATTTGTAAATTAAAAAGTTGTTATCAAAAAATTTATTTATTTATGATAAGTAATATTACTTATTAGAAAAAAAGATTTGAAATGATCCAAACGATTTGAAAAGATTTGTTTTGAACAATATATAGATATACATTTTGCATTGAGGTAATATTTTCAAATCCCTTTTTCTAATCATAGCTATGATAGCAGCACACATCTGGCACTTTTTGATGATTTTTGTCAACGGAAAATAATTGCAAGAAAATTAAAAAAGAAAATAAAAACAAAATAAAAAAGTTCTAAGCAGCTAAGAGAATTTTTTTTTTAATAACTATTTACTTATTAAAAAAAATCTTAAAAATTGTTGGGTGTCTGTTGACATCAGTATTATGTTTATTTACAGTTATCGAAATCGTTTAGACAGAACATAGTTAAAATATAAAAAAAAAAATATACTAATTTAATTTACCACGAATTTTAAATTATAATTGAGTGTTCAACTTCAATCAAATTATGTATCTGAAAAAATCAAAATAAAATTCAATTATTGTTATTGTAACCCAACTATTGATATTGATAATTGATATATAGTTGATGATGTACACACTATGGAGGGTAGAGGTAAGGAGAACCGTCTCATATTGGGGGAAAGTTGAAAAAGTGCCCAGCTGTATGCTGAGAATAAAGTTTCCATTACCTACCAGAATAGCGCTGGCGTTCGAGTAGTTTCAATATGAACATAGCTGTTATAAATGGAGTGAAGTTTGCTCAGTTCAAATATTTAAAAATTTTAATGACTCGAGTAGTTAGTAGGGATGGGCGATGTTAGCAAAAAAAATCGACATCGGACTCTATCGATTTTCGAAATTTTTCACCATCGAACCATCGATGTTTTGACAAAAACATCGAAAGAAACATCGATTGTAGACATCGATGTTGAAAATGCGCGCGAAAATTCAAAAATATTATTATTACAACCAAATTTAGCGCAAAAAGAAATAATTTTAAATTATTACGAATCATAATCTAATCATTAATAATTACACCGGCACACAAAAAAAAGTTGTCAGTACACGGAAAAAAATTAACTGTTGCTGCAACAGGAGGCAGTCATGTTGCAGCAACAGTTAATTTTTTTCCGTGTACTGACAACTTTTTTTTGTGTGCCGGTGTAATTATTAATGATTAGATTATGATTCGTAATAATTTAAAATTATTTCTTTTTGCGCTAAATTTGGTTGTAATAATAATATTTTTGAATTTTCGCGCGCATTTTCAACATCGATGTCTACAATCGAGGTTTCGATGTTTTTGTCAAAACATCGATGGTTCGATGGTGAAAAATTTCGAAAATCGATAGTCCGATGTCGATTTTTTTTGCTAACATCGCCCATCCCTACTAACTACTCGAGTCATTAAAATTTTTAAATATTTGAACTGAGCAAACTTCACTCCATTTATAACAGCTATGTTCATATTGAAACTACTCGAACGCCAGCGCTATTCTGGTAGGTAATGGAAACTTTATTCTCAGCATACAGCTGGGCACTTTTTCAACTTTCCCCCAATATGAGACGGTTCTCCTTACCTCTACCCTCCATAGATAAACAAATAGAAGTTTTACCGTAATTTGGTTTTATATTATGTTTTCATGCAATGTTTTCGTTGAGATAACCCTTGAATATTTTAGGTTATGAATGTAAGGATTATATGAGATACTCGTGTAATGAGCGTTAGAAGTTTATTAACAATTGATAATTCAATAATTTTTGATGAATGAAACACTCAAGTGATTTAAATGTTGTTATTAATTATCCAATGATGGAAAACGAAAAGAAACTAACTTTTGATAACAAGATCATTTTGGCTCCTATGGTTCGAGTGGGAACTTTACCCATGCGACTTCTTGCGCTAGATTATGGTGCTGATATTGTTTATACAGAAGAGTTAATAGATTTTAAATTACTTCGCTCCATCCGGCGTGTAAATGGTAATCAGTTCAGCTAATAGTTTTTAAAATTGATAGAATAAATGTGAAACTATATTTGACATTTATCTAATTTTCAGATGTTTTGGGAACAGTTGATTACATTGATCAAACAGATGGGACCGTAGTTTTTCGGACTTGCTCACGAGAAAAAAATCATGTCGTACTGCAGCTAGGAACATCTGATCCTGAACGGGCTGCAAAAGTTGCGCAAATAGTTGAACAAGATGTATCAGGTATTGATTTAAATATGGGATGTCCTAAAAAATTTTCTCTTGACGGTGGAATGGGCGCAGCTCTAATGAATGATGAGCAAAAAGCAAAAGATATTCTAAAAAGTTTGGTTAATGGAGTTAAAGTACCTGTTACCTGTAAAATTCGCGTTTTTGACGATCTTGAAAAGACTTTAAAATTATGTGATGTATGGATAGTCATTTTTAAAATTTCTTCAATTCAAGTGATGCTACACAAGTTTATAAAACTTTATCTTCTCATTTATTATTTGTAGACTCTTGCATCTAGTGGAATTTCAGCAATTACTGTCCATGGACGTACGGCTTATGAAAGACCTCAGCATATGAACAGGCATGATACAATTCGAATTATTGCTCAACGTTTATCAGTACCCGTAATCGCCAATGGTGGTTCAAAAGACATTGGGTGTTATTCTCACATAGAAGAATTTAAAACAAAAACAATGGCAAGTAGTGTGATGCTCGCCCGAGCGGCGCAATGGAATTGTTCAATTTTTCGGAAAGAAGGCTTGTTACCAATTGATGCTGTTATCAAGTCATATCTTAAATACGCTATAGATTATGACAATTCGCCATCTAATACCAAATATTGTATACAAAATATTATTCGAGAACTACAAGATACCCCTTTTGGGAAAGAATTTTTGAAGGCACAAACTTTGGAACAAATTTGGTAAGTCATTTTATGAAATTAAATAATGTTTATTCCTTTTATTTTAAATTGATAATAATGAGCTATGTATGTATTTTATATAAAGCCAACTTTGGAACATAGATGATTACTGCCGAATGAAATTTCAAGAGTTTCAAGAAAAAGGTTTTCATGGTCGTTTTCAAGTAACACCTCTCAGACATTGTGGAGTAGCAAACGACAATAATGTAAAAAAAAATGAGAATAATATGGAAGATGTAATAGTTATGCGATGTGCATTTCTTAGAAGGAGATTCTCTTATGATGGTGATTTACCCAAAACGAGACTTTTAAAATGGCTCAGAGAAACTGAAAAAACGAACATTGTACCTATTTATCACACATGGTTTGAAGATAAACTTTTTCGATCAATAGTTACTGTGAATAATAAAAGTTACAGTTCTTCATTTTGGTAAAATTTTGAACTTATGGTATGTATTTCAATTCATTTTTCGATGTTATTAAATCAATCTTATCTTTTTGTAGGGAAAAAAATAAAAAAAGAGCGGAGCAAGGTGCGGCATTAGTTTGTCTTTGTGCATTAGGAGTCATCGATGAAGAATTATTAAAAAAAAATGGAAGTTTACGAAAGTAATTTGCTTGATTGTAAATAAAAACAAAATATAAATGAGACATTCCAACTATTGTTTTTTAATGGACACAAAACTAAACTACATAAATTTACGCAAAATAGAAGTTAGAAATTATTAAAAAAGTACATTTCAAATTTTACCTTTAACAAGAATTTTTTAGAGGTGGTTTTAGAATTTTTTAAACGTCAAAAATTAAGGGGATTTTTTAGTAAATTTTGTAGAAATAGAAATCAAACCATTGTATATGTCCTCATGACGCAACTTTTGAAAGATTTTGCTATTTTTTGACTCGTTTTGTTGTATCCTCATAATGACGCTTGACGCTAGCTTTTAGTGTCAAATTAGAGCTCCATCTTGCTGAAATAAATAAAGATATGTCTAGCATCAAACGCCAGCGTCATATTAAAAAAATCAGCAGCCAAAAACAAATCTATGAATAATAAATCTAAAAATAACGAAAGTCGATATCTTGAGATATTCATATGTATGTCCAGCAAGGTCATTAGATTGATCGTACTGCCTCCATCTGGACTGAGGTGTGAGTTGTACCCGCAAACTCGCATTAAAAAGTTGTATATGCAATATAATAGTTGAAAAGTATACTCAGAATTATAACCTTGAGTATACCTTTTATAAAACGGCAAAATGGGCTCGTTCAAGTTTACTAAGCTCTTGACAGATTTTAGCAGATCTAGTACTAAAAACTAAAAGTGACTTACAGTCAAGTACGGCCAATGCTTGGCAGAATTGCCCGACTTATTATTATGGTCTTTTATTTTTTTGTAAGTTTTCTTCATTCCTGAAAACTTTGACTGGCATTGAAGACCTGTGACATTATGACCATGAGCACGGAGTTGATCACTAATTTTCAGCCACACTTTCTTTTGAGAAATTTTACCGCTCGTGAGATCTGATTGTTCTTTTCGGTATTCATCAAGAAACATAAGAATTGCTTCATGAGGCCATTTAAATACTGCAACAAATAATTAACTTTACCATGATTTGCATTTTTATTATTTATTCTATTGGCTTCAGTTTTAAATTACCTGAATCTTCATTTGTACTTTTAGGAGATTCGTCAACAATTTCATCAAAATTCAAACCGGGATCCAAAGCTTCAACCGTTTCTACGTCTTGTTCTGAACATTATATGCAGATAAAACTCAAAAAAGAAAATAAAACCTACCACTAATAAGCTCAGCATATTCTAAATTTTTTGCCTCTTCCAGTTTTAAAGTTGCAAAACCTACGTCTGGAAATAATAAAACACATTTCACCAAAAAAAAAAAAAATTAAAAGAAAAACTCAGACCTTTTTTTTAATAGCATTGCAATTAAAGAAATTTATTAATTCACTCGTTATTCAAGTGTTTTAAGAAATAGAACTTGAGAATAAATTATACTTCTAGCTGTCTAAAAATACAATTTAATTTTCAAGCAAGGGCAAAAGCTTATAATGAAGTTGTGAAGTTATTTCTCTAAATACTTACAAGACTTTTTTCATCATAAAATATTTGGTACCAGAAAAAATATGATTTCGTACATAGCGCTGAAGATTACATAAAAAATTTCATGATACTGAAATTAAAATACGCCTAATAATTTTTATGAATTTCCTTAACAAAAAAAAAAATTATAGAGAAATTTTCAAAAACCGTGTAAAATTTTTAAAAGATTATTACACAGTAAATGTATTTTCAGAAATTTTATTTTTCTAATTACGTCTTAAAAAAATTTTCAAGCCAAATAATGTAAAATTTCCGGAAAAGAGCATCTCGAGCGTTACAAAAACGTTGACTTGTTGGTTAAGCTACTGGTAAAGTATTTCGACATGTTATCGAGAAGATCCAGGTTCGAGTCCTGGCTTGGTTAATTTTTCACGGATTTTTTCAAAAGTTGCTTCCACTCTCAGGGGATTTCTCTCGTTTATTAACATCTTTATATTTTCGAACAGATACTAACAGCTTCCAGCTTACTAGTGTTCTTGTTTGATGGAGTCCATCGACCTAATACCCAGGGACAATCCCGTCTCGATCCTTAATGAAGATGGAATGCTCCATCTTGACTTGAATTAGTTTAAAACTAGTTAAAAAACTGACCGCATTGGCGCTAAACAAAACTCATTTAATTAAATCACGGTCGCGAAATTAAAAACTTAAATATTATTATTATTTGTATCTATTATTAATTTATTAATTTATTTATAAACTTATCAGACATTAAATAAAAATGTGAAAATTTATTTTAGTTTATGATGTACATAAATAATATATACCGTCAACTAACCCCAAATTCTGTAAACGTATTCAAAGAAATATGTAAAAATATTTTTATAAATGTCGACTAATTATTTATTTTTTAATTTCTACATGTGAACTATTTTCACAAAATTTTTTTGTAATAATTTTTTTAATTAAAAAAAATTCTAAAAATTTTTAACTTAATTTTCATTTCAGAGTCACAGATAAAAAAATAATTCTTCCAATAAAAAACTTACCAAAAAATAGCACCGAAAGTGTCTTAATAAATTAAAAATCCCGCGTATGATTGATAAAAATTAAAAGAAGAAACAACAAAATAATATAATAACAATTGATAATCAAACAAGTGAGGAGTATGAACTCTGTAGTTCTTAAATGCTCAGGTATAAATGATGCTGAAACTAATCGACATCTGATCATTTTTAGACATTCAATTGACAAAAAAATTGTTATTAAAAAATCAAACAATAATTTCAGTCATGAATATAAAAAAAAATTCATTTATAATTTTTTATTTATTTTTTAAATAAAATTAAAAAATGATTAATTTTATATATTGAATAAAATTTATCTGTCTAATGAAAATTAATTTTATTATTAATTATTGAATAATAAAGTATTTGTTATATATTTACACACTATTTAAAACAAGCTCTTTATAAGCAAGTAGCGTTACCTGGATGTGACTAAAGACATTACACATAAATTATACTTATTTCAGTAAAATCTCTTTAAAGTTTCGTAGTTCTATCTTAATTTTTTCATAGATCACTCACAAGAGCAATGAAGACACTCCAAAAAAATTTTACTGTAACCAATCAAAGTAATGAGAGAAAGAGAGAAGAAATCGGGTATTTTGGTCTCTGTTCTGTGTACAAAACAGTTGTTGAATTCGCTACGTTCGCCAAATTATAAACAAACTTTCGTAAACCTAACCATACTAATGATAAATAGCAACTAGTATACGTTGCGCGCGCAAGCGCGCGTGTGAATGTTGGTGTGGAATTATCTATATTTTCATACTTATGATATATTTGACCAATCACGTTACGAATAGTTTGTCTTATTGTGTATATTTTCATATTTTTCATCTAAATTATAAGAGTGGATTCAATGAATATAAGTATTTTAGTTCGGTCACACATGGCCATCAATTTTGGCTACCCTTAGTTTGTTATAAGCGAAACTTACCGAAAACGAACAAAACGAATATATCCGAAAAGACACAAACCGTGCTGTCATCTATCGAAAAATTCTTTTTTCGACTGGAAACGATACGAAGAGGCAAAATTCGATTGGACACATTCCGAAAAAAATATATTGACAATTCTAATAAATTTTTTTATCAGGAAATTATTCAATCGAAAAGACAAAATCCGAATCTTCATTAATAGAAAAATATTTTTTCCGTCTCGCAATAACTGGAAAGCTTAACTCTCGATTGGACACTTTCCGAAAATTTTTTCAGATGATAAAAAAAAAACTTCAGTATCGATGAACACCTTTGTAAAGTCGGCAATGTGAATTTTAAGTGATAATGGACAAAACATTTTTCAGTGATTTTTTGTCTGTTGAAAAATATGAATTGATAAATGAAAAAAAAGTAATTAAAATATCGTAGATCAAATTAGATTTAGAAAATTCAATGCTTCAAATTAAAAAGATTTTATATTACGTATAATCTTTTTTTTTGTTATCGAAATTAGCAGCCACGACTAATTCTTCTTTTTATTGAGCAGAATTTTTATTGCAAAAAAAAATCAACAGCAGTCTCAACAAAAACCAAAATTTGAAATCATAATACTTCAAATGATTATAATAAAATTATATTTTCCCTGAAACTAATTTATTAATTATTATAGTTCATTCCTTAGGTAGTTGCATATCTCAAAAATTCGTATCTTCACCTTAATTATTATTATGATTATTATTCTTTACTAACTTATAAATTTTTACAAAACTATATTAAAAAATATTGATTGTCAAAGTGAAAAAAAAAATTTTTTTTCTAACGAAGTTTTCTTATTTTCGGACTTTTGGAAGACCTGGCGCAAAACTTCAATAAAATTGTACCAATCCTTGAGACTTCCCGGATCAGAGTTGTAGACAGTGGCCCCACTTTGGGCTGTTACAAATCTAATCTTCTTTTCTCAAGTATGTAGAACTTACACCGGGACCAGAAGTCATACTGCGGGCAGAAAAAAAGCACCGTCGAGTGCGACCAATACAAGAAACAATTCATGCGCGAAGATGTTTTGCTCTGTCACCAGACCAATTTTTGCAAATAAAATTAACTTAATTAATAATTGTTAATGTAATTATTTTTTGATATTATGTGCAACTTGCAATTATTTTAAACAACTGGATTGTTCTAAATAATATATAAATATTGTTAGGTATGTGATGTGGTCATAAAATTAAAAAAAATGAGTGCATTATAAATTTTTTAAATTACAAAAATATATTTTATTCAATCAGGAATTTCTACGGTACCCACTGGTTATTTTGCTGAGCAGGAAAAACGAGTTTCTTTATTACCTACTGTTCTTGAAGGCGACAATTTTTCAGAAAGTGTCCAATCGAGAGTTAAGTTTTCCAGTTATTGCGAGACGGTCTTTTGGTTAACTCTGTTTTATTTACAAAATAAAATAAAATAGAATAAAAAAAAACATATTTCGGTACAAAGGTACATTGTAACCGAATTTTCAAAACCCATAAAAAGTACTTGAGTAATTCAAGGACTTTCTCGCCTGATGAAACTTAAAACCCTATGAGGAGAAGTCGTAAAAGACACGTGTGAAATTCAATAGATCCTTGTTCTAAAGTAACAAAGAATAATAAAAAAACATATGTAACTAAACAAAAGTAATATTGTTAAATAACATTTACTGTTAAAATCTAACTTTATATAATATTGTAGTTAAGCAAAATTGAGTTAAAATAATTAATAATTAGTATCTTATATTTAATTTATAACTAATAATTATTAGTTAACTAATTTACTATTAATTTATTATTAAATCATTATCTAATTATTATTTAATTTATAATTAAATAATAATATCTATTCTTTTATACAGGATAATAATTAAAATGACTTATAATTTTATTAGAAAACTCGATTGTAAAATGATAGAAATAATATTTAATTCAAATTATTAATTATTCAAACTTAAACATTAGTCCAACATATTATAAATAATATAATATTTATACTTTCATGTTATAATTTACTATAGTTAATTTTATTATAAATAGATTTTAAAAAGGGTTTGTTAAATTAGTAAGAATGGTTGGATAAACATAATGACTGTATTGCTAAAAGTATATATAAGTGAAGTCCAACTTTCAGGCCGATAGGCTGAAGTAAATATATATAGATATAAAGAAAATACATGTTAGTGTATAAGGATCATTTATATGTGGTGGAAAATGTATGTATTTATATATTCCTTAGAGCGGATGTATGTGTGGAAGTTATGGTGGGAGAAGAACGGAGTTTGAAGATCTTCGGAAAAACTATGTAACGACACTTCTCATCGAGAGATTAGATTGCTAAGATCACGTCATTGTAAACCCCAATTTTATATTTTGAAGTTTTTAATATTTTGTCAACTCGAATAATAAATTGAAACCAACTAAATAATTTTGATCAAAATTAAATTACGTCTAAATAGAATTCTTTTATTTAAAATTATTCCTTTCCCGCACTGAAACCGAGTATTTTAATACTCCCGGGCGAAAGAACTACAGTAAGTAAAGTTTTAAATAAATAAAAATAACATCCACTAGATGGAAGCATAACAGTCTTTTCGGATATATTCGTTTTCGGTAAGTTTCGCTTATAACAAACTAAGGGTAGCCCATTAATTCAGTGAGAAAGGGCTTTTTCCTAAAGTGTAACGTACACAGTTTTCAAGAATAATTCATGCATGAAAATATCAGTGTTTGTAAATAAATAATAAGTGTTTAAGAAATACAAAAGAATCATAAAATAAATAATATTTAAATTATTTAAACTAATGGTGTGTAATTTTTAAGGTTACACATTTTATTTTCAATTTAATTTTTAAATACTAAATAGTTCAATATGAGTAGTGAATCTCAAATTTCAACAATCGTCAATGAGATATTGGTAAATATTATTATTTTTTTTCAATTTCAAGTTCTATATATTGTTAATTTTTAATGAAACAATATTCATTCAGAGAGTCGAAGCAATTGAAGAAGCTTTTAGTTGTGTCTTGGTTCATAATCTTGGCAATGAAACGGAAAAAATAAAAAAATGGCAAGGAGAACTGCGTTCCGTAATGCTCAAATTACCAGTAGATCAACAAGAGCTTGCAGTTAAACAATTTTTAACTTTGGCTGCTGGGATGACCAACCATAAACGCTTGCAACTTTTACTTGGTCTTCTAGAGAATTTAGTAGTCAATACCGTTTTACCGGCAAGGTAATTTCATTTCATTTAACTAGTACGATACAAAAATCACATTAAGTATGAAAAAAAAATTTTTTTTTTTTTTTAGAATGGTATGTGAATCAATTTTAAGCTGCGATAAATTAGTATATGAACTTCAAGACTTTTGGGTTGAATGTTTCATTTTAATAAAGAAAATAATCGGTGGAGTAGACTACAAAGGTGTACGAGAGGTAATGAAGGGTTGTATAGAGAAAGCTCAGACTATTCCAGCAAAATTAAATGCTTCAGTACAGCCTCAATTAAAAAGTCTGGAACATGTATTTGAAAATATATTTGATAGGAATGCTTGTCTTCTTCCAAGCTATTTCATTGTTACGGAGATTCAAAAAGTATATCCAGATAATAAAAATTGGCCTCATTGGAAATTAGCAAAACTTATTTCAAGCTTTGTAGAAAGTTTTCGACCTGTAGCTCAAATGGTATCAATAATCGGACATTCAAAAATGCGTCCAGTTGTTGAACATACAGGATATGCTGACCATCTAATAAATCCCTGGTTATTAGATCCATCATCACTAAAGTTTTCTTTAAAAGGAAATCTTCCTTATGACGCTGAATTGCTTAAACCACAAACAGACTTACTTCGTTATGTTCTGGAGCAGCCATATAGCCGTGACATGGTTTGTTCAATGCTTGGACTTCAGAAGCAACATAAACAACGCTGTATAGCATTAGAAGAACAATTGGTGGAACTTGTTATTCTTGCAATGGAAAGATCGGAAAATGATACACCTCAACCATCTGAAGGAATAGATGGAACTGTAGCGAATCATTGGGTATGGTTACACCTTTCATCACAATTAATTTACTTTATTCTCTTCCAATTTGCTTGCTTTCCAAGTATAGTAATGGCGATTCATGAAAAACTTGCTGCAAGAGATTTACGGAAAGGCCGAGATCATTTGATGTGGGTATTGCTTCAATTCATTTCTGGAAGTATTCAACGAAATCCTTTGGCTAATTTTTTACCAGTATTGAAACTTTACGATCTTTTATACCCAGAAAAAGAGCCTTTGCCTGTACCTGATTTCAATCAAGCTCTTTGTACACATCAAATGGCTATGACGTGCATATGGATTCACTTGCTAAAGAAGGCACAATCAGAGCATGCTAATATTCATAGACCGATCCCTACTGCATTGAAAAACCATCACGAATTTCTTCAACATTTGGTAATGCCTAACTCTTCACTTTGTATGGGGCCAGATTATCGAATCGCACTTCTTTGTAATGCTTATTCTACTTATCAAGAATACTTTAGCAGACCTATGGCTACACTTGTTGACACAGTATTAGGCACTCAAAAAAGTCAACCGCAACAACCTTTGCCTACGAATATACAAAATAATGCAGCTTTGGCTACAGGACCAATTACTCCCTTATCGATGTCTATTTTAGACTCTCTTACAGTACATTCTAAAATGAGTCTCATTCATAGTATTGTGACTCATGTTATAAAGCTAGCACAGTCAAAAAGTAACTTACCATTAGCACCTGCTCTTGTAGAAACTTACAGTAGACTTTTAGTTTACACGGAGATAGAAAGTCTTGGTATAAAAGGGTTTATCAGTCAATTATTACCACAAGTATTTAAATCTCATGCTTGGGGGACTTTGTATACACTTTTAGAAATGTTCAGTTACAGAATGCATCATATTCAACCTCATTACCGAGTTCAAATACTTTCTCATCTTCACAGTTTAGCTGCAGTACCTCAGACAAATCAAACTCAATTGCATTTATGCGTTGAAAGTACTGCTTTAAGGATGATTACAGGTTTAGGATCATCTGAAGTTCAACCACAATTGTCTAGATTTTTATCTGAACCAAAAACTTTGGTGTCATCTGAATCTGAAGAACTTAATCGTGCTTTAGTGCTTACTCTCGCCAGATCAATGCATATTACCAGTACTGGTGCAGATTCTTTAAGTGGAACGTGGTGTAAAGAGTTACTAAATACTATAATGCAAAATACTCCTCATTCATGGGCAAATCATACGCTTCAATGTTTTCCTCCTGTGTTGAGTGAATTTTTTCAACAAAATAGTGTTCCTTGGGAAAATAAACAACAGATTAAAAAAGCAGTTGAAGAGGAATATAGGAATTGGGCGTCTATGAGCAATGAGAATGACATAATAGCTCATTTTTCTGTTCCAGGTACTCCACCATTGTTTCTGTGTTTGTTATGGAAAATGATTCTTGAAACAGATAGAATCAGTCCGATTGCTTATAAAATTTTAGAGAGAATTGGCGCAAGAGCATTGTCTGCTCACTTAAGAAAATTTTGTGACTATTTGGTGTTTGAATTTGCAAATAGTGTAGGAGGAGGACAGCATGTCAACAAATGTGTTGATACAATTAATCATATGATTTGGAAATATAACATTGTAACTATTGATAGACTGGTATTATGTTTAGCCCTAAGAACTCAAGAGGGTAACGAAGCACAAGTTTGTTTTTTCATTATTCAATTACTTCTACTGAAAGCAGCTGAATTTCGTAATCGAGTTCAAGAATTTGTCAAAGAAAATTCACCAGAACATTGGAAGCAGTCTAATTGGCATGATAAACATTTAGCATTTCATCGAAAATTCCCAGAGACGTTTGCACCAGAAGGAATTATGGATCAAACGAGTGGTGGACCAAGTCAATATCAGAGTTTACCTGTTTACTTTGGCAATGTTTGCCTGAGATTCTTGCCCGTTTTTGATATTGTTGTACACAAATTTCTGGAAATTCCTCAAGTAAGTAAAAGTTTAGAAATTCTTTTAGACCATTTGGGATGTCTTTACAAATTTCATGATCGTCCTGTTACGTACTTATACAACACACTTCATTATTACGAAAACAAATTGCGTGATCGTCCGTTTTTGAAGCGACGTCTTGTCGCTGCTGTATTAGGTTCATTAAAAGAAATAAGAGCACCAACATGGGCTTTATCCGAACAGTTTTTACAATATATGGGGCGTGCCACCGATGAAACCTTTACTTGGATCCCGGAATTAGATTATTATATTCGTTTAGTCAGAAGAATGGTTGAAACAATGGCAGGAACGCCGCATTTCCCGTCTGTAGATTGGAGATTCAACGAATTTCCTAATCCTGCAGCCCACGTTCTTTATGTTACATGTGTTGAATTAATGGCAGTACCGGTCGCTCCAAATCTTGTTGCTGACAATCTTTTAGATGTTGTTGCCAAAGGTTACACTGTTATAGCTCCAAAAGAAATTCACTTATGGATTAACTGCATTGGGTTACTTATGACTGCATTGCCGGAATGCTATTGGTCTGCTTTTTACGATCGTATTGTTGAAACTGCGAGCAGTCCTGGTTTAGAAAAATGGCAATATAATAATCTTACACCATTCCAAATATTTAATTTTGACAATACGCACAATTGCTTAATGGAAAATAAGTATTCTTATATGTTGGCCATCGCTCATTCAATATGGCATCATGCTGGTGTTGGACAAATAACTTCTATGCCACAGCTCATCAAAGAAAAACTTCAACCTGTTGTCACTAGCGAAGAGCAATTGATATTTGCTTGCCACTTAATTGGACCTACTTTGGCTCGTTTCAATGTAGAACGACCACGTTGTATAGTCGAACTATCAGTGAGCTTGTACGAGATGTTAGAACAGGTTGATAGAACTCAAGCTACACTTAAATACATGGATCCAGTTTGTGATCTTCTTTATCATATTAAATACATGTTTGTTGGAGATATGATGAAAACTGATGTTGAGTGTATAATTCGAAGACTAAGACCAGCCTTGCAAATGAGGCTCAGGTTTATTGCTCATTTAAATATTGATGAAATTCAGTCAAATTAATTATGTAACATGTAAATCACATTTTTAACAATAAATTTGTACTATTTGTGTAATAAGAGATTTAAATTTGCATTTTTTTCTTCAATGCTCCCAAAATTTTGGAAGCCAAATTTATCGATACTTGATTATTTAGCATCAGTTTTGCAATTCATAGTTTGTTTTATTCAAAATCAAAGTGTATAAGTTATTTTACAGTAATTTATAATTTGATTGATTGTTTTATGTTTCTATGTAATTGAACTTTTCTGTCTTTCAATATTTTTTAGCCCTTGAACAATTAGTAAAAATTGATATTTAATTAAATAATAATTAGACTGACTTTATTTTGAATAAATTTAGTAATATAGTTGTAACAAAATTGAAGGAAAAAAGATAATTTAAGTACTTCTCTATGACCAAAATTTTATTCGTTCTTAACTTTCGATGCGTTTTTAATACGTAAATAAAAAATCAAATCTAATTAAAGGCTTTAGTTTTAATTTTCGGGATTATTATTTCACAAAATTTGAATATATGAAGATGAATTATTCAACTAACAATTATTTTTTTGAGTAATTCATTTTAATTAAATTATTCAACAGTACTGATAGTCACCGCAAGCCCATTCGACTAAATCATATTTGTATTATTGGAAATAAAATGAACTTTAATACATACGGAACAACTGTAATGAATAATTTTTTATTTAAATTAATTATCATTTAAATATACATTTATTTTAACTAAAAATTCATTTTTTAAAGACTTATTGAAGCTAAATTAAAGATGAATTGGAGTAACGGACTTGATAGAAGACATTCTCGGCAGTATTTTTTTCCATTTTGCAAATGATTTCTCTTTTTCTTCCTCATCTTCTTCTTCTACTTTGAATACTTTTCTTCGTTCGTAATGCAATTGTATCTATACAACAAATAAAGAAAGGATTTGTTATGTAAATTCATTTTTTTGAAAAATTAATTTGATTTGCTGAAATGATTTATAAAAATATTTTTATAATTAATTAATACATTACTTTAAGATCATTATTTGCTTCTCTAAGAGCTCCAGCGAGTGATGTTAGATAATATATAATTAGTGCCATTAAAACAATCAAAGGAATAATAATTCCTGGAGACGCAATGTAATCGAGTGATCTAAAAAAAAAAAAAAAAAAAAAAAAACATAAAGTGATATCAATTTATGAATATTTTTACTCCGACTATTAAAGATCATTCATACTTGTGAACTTTCACTGGAAGAGAATTCTTCAAACTTTGGGTAGCTATGTGATATATTCTATAATAACCCGAGAAAGGTCCACAGTGCCAGGAAGGTTCCACCCATACAATAGCATAACCCACCGGAAGAACACACAAAAAGATCATCGTAAGTAATAGTGCTAGATAAAAATTGTTTGATCTTGAGGCTCGAAAGACAACTTCATGTGGTACGTTGCAAGTCATTACTGCCCAAGATCTTAAGTACATGATAATAACAAGTTTGATAAGGTTTAAAGCTATTAAACCGGGACTAAAAAACATTCCCATCCAAACCATCCCTTGATTGTTGACCAAGTGTAAAATATTTTCAGCTATTTTGAAATCACCATACTGTGGAAATTGTTTTTCAAGATCCCAGCACCACCATGGGTTCATATATCGAACGAACAATGCACGAAAAAAATCGAGACTGAGAGTCATTATTATTGTTAGTACCTAAAAAAATTACAGTATACATATTCATTTGATTAACCAAAAAATAATAAAATAATTAATATAATATTTTATGGGAATCATTTTATGACAAAATCCGATTAGCAGTGAAGTTCTATGGAACGTTATTAAGTATCGTTGAATTGAAAAGTATCGCTTTACTTCCAATTTGATATTCAAAAGTTTAATTTTTATTAAATGGAAACGACTGTCACAATTAAACACATACACTGAGAGAAAAAATTACTATTGAGAAAAAAGAACACTCATGTTAAAAGAATTTAAATTGTTGGAAATTTTTAACATTTTTTTTGGAGAATCGGGTTTTTTATTTATGGAGAAAAAAACAATTTGAAAGAAAATCAAGAAGTACTTAATTCAAAAGTTCAAAAGTAGAATTCATTAAATATATTAAAATAAAAATAATTTTTTGTCATCAAAAACTTGAAGTCTTCAATGAAATACTTGTTGACTTTCATCGAATCGTTTCTTTCTATATGAAAAAAACTTGATATTATAAAAAAAATACTATGAAAAAAATGTAATTTCTTCGGCTGAATGCTGAATAAGAAAAGTGTTGAAAATTTTCAACAATTTAAATTCTTGTCACGAAAATGCTCTTTTCTCGAAAGTAATTTTTTCTCTCAGTGTAGTAAAAGGCATTTCTTTAATATCGTTAAATTTTGTTCATGAGAATAAAGTTAACACTATAAATTTATGAAAACCAGATTTTTACACAGAAAATATATCAATAAATAAACTTTCAAGAAGAGAAACGCCAGATTGTTTACTATAAGTAAATAAATAAATGTAAAAAAAAAAAACAGATCTGGAAACTTTGTAGTTACTGTGTTCTAAAATGGGACAGTTGTTAACGTTTTGAAATCCCATGAAGATATTCTGATTTTTTTTTTCAATTCAGTGAGTTTATTAATTAAATTTAATTTAGACTTCCTATAAATTGGAATCACATCAGTCGAATAGATTTAGAAAAATCTAAAAAATCAAATAAAAATATGATTTTTTAAAATAACTTTTGAACTACTTTGTGAACCAATTCGAGAATTTTATCAGTTCTAGCCCTCAGGAAACTGTGAATAATGCCCCAATTTAGATCAAAATTTTTAGATTTTTTCACTAAAAATTGTCGATTATCAATAATGTGTTTTTTTTTTTTAATTTGGTATTAAAAAGACTGCCTTGATTAACTGATGTTAACTTAAAAACGTTCTGAATAGCTTTGGTACGACCCCAAAATGTCTTATATATTTATATACATAAAATTTAAAGAATTACTTCGTTAATATTCTCATACCAAATCCATAACTGTAAGTTTCGTTAATTCCTGACCAAACATTGTTTCCCAACATAGTTTCCGAAGTTTTTTTTTCGTTGTTATATTCAATTTCGAAATTGCTTCTTGCGTCACTAAAAAGTAAATTATTCAATTAAAACTAATGTCATTAAAAAACAATATACACAAAAACTGAATTTTATTACCTTTGGTAGTTTTATATTTTTTCTCTTCTAAGTTATTGTCATAATTACATACTCGAGTGAAACATTTGATAATTTTTACATCACCATTATTACAGGTATTATTAAAATTTTCTTGATTATTATCAATAACTAACGTAATATTTTCTTCAACTTCAAATCCTATATTTTCCTTAGGTTCTAATATTAAAATTGTTGTATTTTCTTCATAGTTCCCTGTAGAATCATTAGCATACTGTTTATTGATTAAAATATTTGTAACGTTCTTTACTTGAGTTAAATTCGATTCATCCCCGTAGCTCAGACCATCAGCATCATAATATTCATAGTTATTTTGAGGTATATCTTTTTCAATATATCCTTCCCACTTTACATTATCAAAGAAAGATGAAGATTCGACTGTTAATGTTTTAGAAGTATTATATAAATCTGTTGAACTGTCATTAAAAATTTTACTGACTGTCGTAAGATCATAAAATGTATCGTTGACTTGAGGTACAGAAACATTTTGGTAAGAAAAAAAATTTTCGGTTGTAGTATTAGACATCAAAATCAAGCTTAAAGCTGTAAGCGATGTTGTTAAAATTGAAGGTCTTTTTAAAGATTGACCAGTGGTCCCAGTTAAGGGTGATGATGATTGCATGTCAAAGTGATACATATCACTACAGGGTACTAATATATTTTGACAGTGTGATGTATTGATATTCGCTGTCAAAATATCTGGTATTATTTTTGGTTTTAGACTCTGTAATTCTTCTTCCTATAAGAATCATTAAATTTTAATTTTGATGTATGTCTATGAAAGAAGCGCAAAAAATTAACTATTTTTTTGGATTTATGATCATGTTTAGTTTTTTATCACAAGCAACTTCTAACAATCAAATAATTGACTTGAAATTATTAGAACATACATCATATTTGAGTAGAAAATGATAAAATAACGAGAAGAAAGATTAAGAGCAAAAAAATTTTTAGCAATTCTGAAAATTTTTCATGGATGAAAACTCAAAAAAAAAAAAATTAGAAAAACGGTTCACCCTAAAGGCCATCCCTGCAACTTCCCGCCAATTCTTTACCTGAACGTTTGAAATTGCACTTATGACGTTTTAGAGCTCTTCGAGCTCATAAATACAATTTGTGTATCATTTTGAGCTCTCTGAGCTCAAAAAAATAGCTTTTGTATGCTTTTGAGCTCCTTGAGCTCAAAAGTTTGATAAAACACTATTTTTTTAATTTTCAAATCGCAATAAATTTTGAATGGATCAACAAATTTTCACGCGGTTGACGTCATTCGACGCAGTTTTATCATCCTCATCAGTTATTTTCAGGTTTTAATTGATCGAACCGAAAATTTCAAAGTAATTCCGAAAAAACATTTTTTTCGGTTTTCTTTCGTTCACGATAACTCACGAACGAATCAACCGATTTTGACCGGACTAGCGGCGATCGACGCGGTTTTTTGATGTTAAGAGCTGATTAGTTTTTGGAATTGATCGGTAAAGCCGTTTAAAAGTTATTCCAAAAAAACCACTTTTCAAAAAATTTTTTTTTGTAGTTTTTTTGCAATTTCTAAAAATCTAGCGAACCGAATCGATTCAAATTTTCACGAAATTTAATAGCTATGATACTCTTTGGATCCCACCGATTTCGATCCGATCGGCCAAGCCGTTCAAAAGTTATAAGAGGTTTACATAAATACATACATACATACATACATACAGCCGCACACACACACACACACACACACACACACACACACACACACACACACACACACACACACACACACACACACACACACACACACACACACACACACACACACACACACACACACACACACACACACACACACACACACACACACACACACACACGACCGCGCGCGCGCACAC